ACATGAATAGGTTGTCCATCGGCATTCGCTTCCAATTCCTCTACCAATTTGGTAAACGCCTCATAACCCTTAACATTGTGTTGGATAACCATTGTTTTATTGCTATTCTCAACACTGTTTGCTAGTTGACGAGCTGAAGTTGTGATGCGTTGTGAAATCGTTGAAGTAGTCAACGATTTTATTATATTCTGTAACTGACGCGTTTTGACAAATAACTTCTTGGCGTACAAGCGATAAAATGTCGAAARTATTCACAACGCGTAAAAAATAATAAAATTTGTGATAAGCAAAGCAAATTCCAGAAAATAAGTGGTGACGTTGCCAAATGGTTTTAAAATTGCTATAATTTTTACAATGAGTTTATTCACGAAGAAGTTTTTCAAGTTTCGGTGTAACTTACTACTATACTATTTTAATATAATATTCAGTTTGTGTTATTTCTTTTAAATTTACAAAAGAATCGCTGTCAATAATTTTGTCAATATCTTAAGTTTATTGGGGTTAATTGCAAAATAATTCATATTCTACAAGAATGAGAATTTATTATGGGCAACTCTATACGCCGCGGTCATAAATTACATTTGACATTKTTTTGTTTTTTTCAAGTATTCGGTTCTTCTATCTCCGATTTAAAACAATAATTATGCCAATTAAAAAATTTGGAAACATTCTTAGCRATATTTAARGAGAACTACTAAAATCTTAAGAAARTGTCGCATCACSTTCTCTTAAWGTTAATTACTCATCATAATAATAACAAATGCTTTAGTGGTTTTTAGCCCCTTGTATGTGGCTAATTGTTGTCACTTTTTATTATCTGTATCACAGTTGTATAAAAATTAACATTTCGTCTACATACTTTAAAATAATGATTTAAACAAATACAATAATTGGACAGCGAACGTTCAAACTGTGTTCATGACACATTTTCGGTTATCCAARAATATTTCTTAATATTTAAAAATTATTAATTCTACATCAGCCCGCCTATTAGTTTTTCTTTTTCTTTTTTTCCTGACCTAAACCTTGTGATTCTTGATATTGGCGCACTATTTGTTCTTGAACATCTGGTAAGCAAGGAGAATAACGAGAGTATTCCATGGTGAACTCGCCTTTGCCTTGTGTACTCGAACTGTAACGTAAAAAATTTACAATATTTATAAAAAAAAACTGCTTGAACTAAGCCTATTAATGCCTTACCGTAATTCGCCCGCATAACCAAACATGTCGTTSAGTGGTACTTCTGCGTATACGGTAAACCAACCCTCAGCTCCGTCAGTGCCCGTAATAATACCATGACGTTTGCTTAATTGTCCCATGACCGCACCTTGGAATTCCTCTGGTGCCGTTACTTCCACCATCATTATGGGTTCTAAAATTTGCCATGAACCACTTTGGAAAACATCTTTTACAGCACCATGTGCTGCCAACATGAAGGCCAGTTCACTAGAATCCACTATGTGATGGCCACCATCTTGGAGGCGGAAACGTATGCCGGACAGCTTGTGTCCCGASAGCATACCACGTTCAGCCATTTCACGGAAACCCTTCTCAACACCAGGCACAAATTGTTTGGGTACATTTGTACCCATAGTGTCATCAACGAATTCAAGCACCGTATTTTGATCTGCCGGCAATGGTTCCATAATACCGATAATACGCGCATACTGACCGGAACCGCCAGATTGTTTTTTGTGTAAATAGTCGAATTCGCAGGCGCTMACAAGTGTTTCACGGAAAGCCACCTTTGGTTTACCCAATGTAACTGGACAACCATATTCACGTTCCATACGCTGCGCGTAAATTTCCAAATGTAGTTCACCTGCSAATCGAAATGCATATTAATATTGTTGCTTTTGACAGAACAAATGCATTAGCATACCCATTCCCGATACGAGTGTTTCTTTTACATCTGGGTCATAGAAGAAGTGAAATGTAGGATCCTCTTTAGTGAAACGTGCCACTGCTTTAGCGAAATTGTCACGATCCTTAGCATTATTCGGTTTGATAGCCATAGAGACAACAGGTTCTGGCACAAAGATAGACTCCATTGAAATGTTACCCTTAGGGTCGGTGATAAATGTGTCACCAGAAGCGCAGTCGACACCAAACAGCGCAAAAATGTCGCCAGCATATACTTCGTTCACATCTTCCATATTATTCGAGTGTAAGCGCACCAAACGTGCTACACGCACTTTCTTATTGGTACGTGCATTAAAGATGTTATCGCCCTTTTGTAGCTTGCCTTGATAGCAACGCAAATAGGTGAGCTGACCGAAACGTCCAGCTTCCAATTTGAAAGCCAAACTAATGAAAGGATCTTTACCATCACGTGCAGGATTGAGGACGACTTTTTCGGGTTCTTCGCCTTCTTTTTCAATGAAAGCAACATTCTCCACTTCCCCAGGGTTCGGCAGATAATCGAGCACACCATCTAATAGAGGTTGTACACCTTTATTTTTTAACGCAGTGCCCACCATAACAGGTGTGAAAGTACGTTTAATGCACGTACGTCGTATAGCGCTCTACAAAAGTAATAAAAGTTGGTACAAAAACTTTCAAACATTAAATAATTCCACWCCACGCACCTTTATATCGGCCTCAGTTGGTGTTTTTTCCTCCAGAAATAGTTCACCCAATTTTTCGTCTACATTTGAGAGATGTTCGATAAGCTCTTGACGACGATCGACTGACTCTGCCCGCATATCTTTCGGTATCTCATCATAACGCAGCTCCATACCGTGGTTGCCTTCGAAATAAATCGCTCTCTCAGTTACTAAATCGACGATACCCTGGCAATTGCTCTCCACACCGATTGGCAATTGTATGAAAGCTGCATTATGATTCATTTTTGAACGCATGTGCGAAAGCACACGATAAGGATTAGCACCCGTACGATCCAATTTRTTGATGAAGGCCAAGCATGGTACATTGTAACGTTTCATTTGCCTATTCACAGTTAATGTTTGACTCTGTACGCCACCTACAGCGCATAGCACCAGCACAGCACCATCCAAAACACGCAGCGCACGTTCCACTTCCACTGTGAAATCCACGTGACCAGGTGTGTCAATAATATTGATGTTGTAATCCTTCCAAATCGTATAAGTAGCTGCCGATTGTATAGTTATTCCACGTTGTCGCTCCAACTCCATCGAATCCATAGTAGCACCGACATTGTCCTTACCGCGTACCTCATGCATCTGGGCAATGCGACCGGTATAAAAGAGTATACGTTCGGTAAGCGTAGTTTTACCGCTGTCTATGTGTGCCGAAATACCAATATTACGTATTCTCTCAATTGGCTTGTGTTCAGCATATTTCAAATGTGTACAATAGCCACACTGCAAGTTTTCATTGAAAAGAAAATAAATAGAAAATTTAAAACACGAAAATTACATAACCTAGTGTTGGTTTCATTGCATCCATGTTTTATAGTAATTTACACAGATTTACTCACCTGCTGTAACGTCTTAAGTGCACCAATGCGTTTAGGCAAATTTGAGACGTTAATACGCGTAAAAATAGTCATTTTAACTAATTTTAATTAGACTTATTATGGTGTTGTCTATTGTTGGTTGTCCCTCCTGGTATCAGCCAAATACGAAAAGAATCTTTCAATACATGCTTTGCTAACAGCTGTCTAATTGGGGGTTGAATTAAAAAAAAAATTATAAAATATTTGGAGAGATATCACCAACACAGAGTGTTTGTGATGAATTAAAATTGCGAGAACTTGAAATAGGAATTAAATTAATTTACAAAATAAGAGATTTATTAAACTTTGGAATAATTATAATTTTTTAAAAATAAATAAAAAAATGAATTAAATAAAATTTAAAAAATTATAATTATTGAAAAGGTAACATTAATTAGACATATGTATTAGTAATTTTTTTGTTATAATTATTGAAAAATACAATTTCTTGCAAGTGCCTATGATCTGTTCTCTGATCCCATTTGATCCATCTTTCTATTTTCCCCCGCTGTGGATCAAGATTTCAAATTTGTAAGAATATACAYATATATGTATGTATMTTAATTACTTCGATCTATTTGSGACCCCCGCCTCCCTTTCTTTGTCTATATACATCCAAGTCGTATCATAGTCGAACATAACCCAACTATGTAAACAATATTTGGCTTTTATTTGAATTTTCATAATTTTATTTTATCTTATATAACTTTTATTTTGAATGTAGGTACAATAGGAAAGCTTAATTAATAAATTAGGACATGTAAATCGTGGCTTGWCGGACTTCGAACTTTCGTTTTTGCCTAAAGTCACGTTATAATTTTTTTTAGTGTGCTCAACATTAGGAATGTTTAATAAGTTTAGTTTAGTARATGTTTGTATGTAATTATATTTATAATTCACGATTTATAGTAAATAATACATCACATAGACTTGTACCTTACAATAAAAAATTTGAAAATTTAAAAATTATAATATATTTTTGCAATACTTTACAATAATATTGAAAAATTCTCCCCAAAAGTTGAAATTTATAATGAAGTTTATATTTAAATAAAAGAAAAATAATTTACGACTTTTTTTTATATTTTAATTAATCACGATTAATTTTTTAATGGTAAGAATTGCTAAAAATTGAAAAAACTTTAAATTTTATTAATTTAAAATGAAGCTTAACTTACSGTTAATTTTTTATTGTAATTAATCAATATAAATTTTTTTAAAGTGAAAATGAAAAAAAAAATTCTTTAAATTTTATTAACAGATTATTTTTGGCAATTAATCGACCAAAACTTAATTTAAATGCGTTATAGGTACACACACAYACATATACAAACATTTATACATYKAGATTTCATATAAAAACTAGCCTCCATTAACCTCAAAATTCCTKAAACACAAATAATTTAACTAATTTCATAAATTCATGAACTAAAACTAATCAACAATTTACTTTACATACACATATACAAATTCATTATAAAATACTATAAGTAAGCAAAATTATAAATAAAAAATTGCCTATGCAACCAGCCAGCCTTATACATATGTATATAGTGTCCTTAAATAAACTTAAACTGCGCCTAAATCTTGCTCCTTCAAATTCAGTTGACTAGAAAATCGAAATGAGATTGTTTTCGAGAGATGTTTCTCAAACTCATCACCATCCAAGTTATCGGGTATGAATGTCTTGTTCGTCATATCCACATAYGARCGTCCACGTTTCACCGGCATCGAATAATGTGCCGCCACGGCACCGSTGCCATCCGCTTCTGCACCAACATCATAACCACCACCAGCTTTGCTGCCATTTTGACTATTCGACGTAATACTGCCGTTACATACGGATTTACGAATATTTAATGGAAAACGCAAATCATTTTCATAACGTAACGTCTGCTCCGTGGTTGCCGCTTCGATAAGTGGACGTGGCACATCATAGCCGGGCGGTGGTGGTGTCTGTTGGAATTCCATGCTGAAATTTGTAGAGAATTCGCGACTACTCGGACATTCTTGTGTGTCATAGCAAATTTTCGGTGACTGCCAGAGATGATCCAACGKATCGGGCTCACCCAGCTGCTGTTCGAGGCATGCRGTTAAATCCGGTTGTGATGCGCCAATTAGTTTGGCCTCATCCATGCAATACATGGGATTTGAAATGGCGTTCGACTCCATTTCGATAAATTTGGCATTATTTCCGAGTAACTTTTCGAATTGCGAAGCGAGATACTTGAAGGATGGACGCGCGTTCGGATCGTCGATCCAACATGTGCGCACAATGGAGTAGCTGTGRGTGGGAGGGAAGGCATATTTATTCAATAAAATTTTTTTAATAATTYATTTTTTATGAAGTCTGTTGTTTCTACTCACATTTCTTCCGAACAATTTTCGGGTTTCTCCATGCGATAGCCGGTTTTCAATAAATGATARAGATTCTGTGGCGGTATGCCGGGATATGGCGATGCGCCTAGCGTAATTAACTCCCAACAGAGCACACCAAAAGCCCACACATCGGATTTGGTGGTGTAGACATGGTCGGCCAATGATTCGGGCGCCATCCACTTTTAGAAAAGCGTATATGTTGTATTAGTTAGCCATAGTTTTTATGTGTACATGTTATAAGTTACCTTCACGGGCACCCGGTCACGTGAACGCTTTAAATACGCATCGTCCTCATAGACATCACGTGTTAAGCCGAAATCTGATACTTTGCAAATTTTCCCGTCGGCCAGTAAGACATTACGCGCCGCTAAGTCACGATGTACTAGCTGGAAGTAACGAAAAGWGAGGGAAATGTTATTCATTCACTTCTTAAATATATCACAATAATTATTTTCTAAGAGTTTGTAATATCCAACAAGTAGGAGCCCTTAATGACAAYCTAAGAAAGATAAAAGTTGAGACTTTGATCCAAGGCTCTTCTGCAGAACCTCTTATTGTTGTTGTTTTAGCGGCAGAAACCTTCTTGAAGTAATTACAAATAATGGTGTCGAGTTGTCAGTTCTTGRCCATATAAAATCCGGGCCCGTCCCAGTTACTTAGACTATAGTGGGATTGGAACTCTCTTTAGCTTCGCTTAAATCTTGAGAACTCATTGACTGTTGACCTTGAGTATATGTCTAGATATCTTTTAGCGTCTTGACATACATACATAAATATAACTTAACCTAAACTTGACCTAACCTTTTTTACCATATTGAGGTCCGAATGTAATTTACAGTTATCATTTTATTGATTAGTTGTTAGTTTCCCTTTGAATATTATTTCATTTCTTACCTTTAGCTCCGTCAAGTATGCCATACCCTTGCATATCTGCCACGCAAATGATAAAATATTCTTCACAGTTATCGGCTCTACACCGTCAGTGAAATCCACACCCGAACACTCGATCTTCCGACTCAAGCGTAAATAACTGCGCAAGGAGCCATATTTCGCATACTCAATAATAATCATTGGTGCTTCGCCTTTCGTGCATGCGCCGAGCAACTTAATCACATTCGGATGCGAAACSTCCTGTAGCAATTGAAATTCCGACAACAATGCCATATACTCGACCGAATTGGCGCCACTCTTAAGCATCTTAACGGCCACCGTCGTTACACCGGATATATCAGCAATATTGGATGCATAAGCTTTCATTACTTTGCCGAACTCACCCTCACCGAGTACAACGTCTAGCTGAAGCTTTGCCCGATCGAACTCCCATTTTGAGTCGACCGTATCGAATTTTGCCAAACCGCTCTCCAATTGCATTAACGGCATGTCGCCGTTACGTACATCACAATCACCGTTCGCTGATGATTTTTGCGACAGCGCCTCYTTACCACGGGTACGTCTTATGAGATTGCGTTGTGTTGCAATTAAACAGACCAACAATACGATCAGTACAATTGGACATGTGATAGCCAGTAGAATGCATGATCGGCCGCACKTAAAGCCGGCCACATGTATGCTCATAGCATCATGTTCAATAATAYCATTATTCGGATTATTTTGTGCTGACTGCGTGATATCCGTACCACCGAACTTCGTCAATTTATTGACATCCAACGACTTTGTGTCATTCTTTCGTTTGCGCTTCGGACGTGGCTCTTCATCGTCGAGTGGCGCACACATACACTTGCCATTGTCCTCACAGGTGCAGGTGCCGGAAGCYGAGTATATGCCGCGTTTATTTGGATTGGATGTGTATGGACCCATAATTCTACCAGCTCCCACGCAGTCTTGTGGACAAATGAATGTATTCAGTTCTTCTAATGGATCGCAAACATTATCCGCACAATTCGTGGCATCGGCCACGCAGGAAGCATAATTGCGACCGAAGAAACCCGCGTTGGAACCGCGCCACACACAGGCGCCACCATTTGTGCCGAGTCCGCAAAATTTCATACATTGTTTTTGGTATTTRATTTGTGCGCACGTTTGACTGCGCGATTTGATTTTATGTTCGCAGGTGGCATTTTTGGCCTGTCCATCGACGAGATGCACATTGATGACGAACGAACGTTGATAGCTGTCGTGCCAGGTGATGTTGAGGCTGTGAAGGAAATATTGTCTTAATTAGTTTTTGTAGTTATTGGTAGGTAGTTAGACCCATTTAATATTATTAAATTGTTCTTGTCTCCAGGTTCAAAAGTTATTCAGTGACTGGTTTTTCCACAAAAACTCGAGTTTAGACTTTAATTCCCAAGACCACAATTTCCAAAAGAAAACAGCCTCTTGAATCATGGTTTGAGGGATCTTGGAAGTAATGGGGGAGATATGAGAGACAAGAGAGAACACACCCTAGAATACTGGTTTGAGGAATCTTGGAAGTAGTACAGGAAATATGAAAGATCTAAGTTGTCCAAAAGGGTGTAACTTCTGTCTCTTATACACATCGAATCTTGGAAGTAGTACAGGAAATATGAAAGATCTAAGTTGTCCAAAAGGGTGTAACTTTGCATAATATTAYGAAGAATTTGACCGCCTTTATTATGTTTTCCGTCCCTCTTCTCATTATCTAATTGATAGCTAACTGAACCGAAGGTGACCTACAAAATTTTATAACCTTTTACAGTCCATAATAATAATACTCACAAGTAAACCGTTTCCGGTGATTGCTCTAAAGCCGCTGTATCCTTCACATAAATGATGCCTGCCGACTTTGTTATGCCAAAAGCGCCACTACGATCTTCAGCGATCGTGAAGCGCACCTCTGACATTTCCATCAAACTCTGATAGTTCTCTGGTTGTGCCACACGACTATAAGCCTTAGCTGTGCGATGTAAAAAAACATCCTTTGGATAGGTGCTCAAAATGCTTGGTGCTARGAAACCTTTATTATCGTTTTCCAATATCGAATCAGCTACGTTGGTTAGACGTCGGTTCATGCCACGTTGTTGGCGCAACTCCAAAACGCGCGGTCGATCAGCTTCATGTATCTTACTCGGATCGGAGTTTAGGCATATGCTCGCTTTGGCCTGCAGAAATAAAAACAAATATATCATTTACTTTTTTTTTAAATAAATGTGTTTACTAAAGACTTACTGTTTTTATTGTATTAGCATTGACGGTATGATCGCTTGCAACCAAACTAAAGCAATATGATGTTTGACTCAAAATGCCGTTGCGCGCAAATAGAATCTCTAAAAAAAAAATAAAGAAAGAATGTTGTAATTGAATTTAAGGTTGTTGCGTCCGTACTTACGACAACTGAAGATGGACTTTATTTTGCCGGTATGATCTGCTTCGTAGCCGGTGCAATCGGGACGCACCAATTCATTGGTGTCATTGAAAATCTGATAAGTTAAATGCGTGTTCGATGTGAGCGAATCTCTATCCGTGAATATAATCTTATTCCCAATTGGTTCGTCCTGAAAAGAAAAAGGGTGTGAGTTTTCTAGCAAAATATAAATGCGTTAAATGTTTATTTCGAAATAMATTTTAGAGGTAGTTTCATAAAGGCACAGGAAATGTCTACTATCATTGTTCTGAGCAATATTAGCAAAGATATATATATTAATTTAAAGGAAGGTTAAAATGAAGAGTTCATTCTAAACTCTTCGTATGTATTACTTGTGTAGGATATGTCGAGGTAAACTTTGCGTAGGTTGATCTGTTATATGGTAATCGGTTGTCAATATTAAAATTATGTGAATTTTTCCGCTTCGATCGTTACACATTAATGCCTCTGCTAAAAAAGGTACGTGAAAATATTATATTATTTTTCTTTCTATAAAGTTTCTAACTATTTATCTGGGTCTTTACTAAAGCGAATCATTACTCTTTTATATCGAGTTTTTTAATAACGAAGCTGCAAAAGTTTAAGTTTAATATAAACGAGGCCATATTTTTTCCCTCGCTTTTGACATTTCTCTTCAGTATATATTTCATCATGGAAAGATATACGATCCTAAAACAAGTTGAAATTATTAAAATTTACCACCGAAATTCGGTGTCAGCGGCCTCAACTTTAAGAGCGCTACGTMCAATTTATGGTCATCATAAGCGTCCTGTCGGAGCAACAATTGAGCGTTTAGTGGAAATATTTGAATCCCCATTCACAGTATAAAATTTTCCCATGTATGTGAGACAAAGAAGTGCCCGTAATGTCGATAATATTGCTGCCGCTAGTGCAACAATTGAGGGAGGCCGAAATCAGTCTTTCACACGTCGTTCTCAAGCGTTGGGCATCTCTGTGGCGTCATTGAGACGAATTTTGCGAAAATATTTTTGACCCGAATTGGATGATATGGACTTGGCCAATATGTGGTTCCAAAAGGACAAGATGCGGTGTGGCATATATCACAATCGATTAATTGGAAACCAAGTTTGGTGAATCACAAAATGGTTCAGTYAATTGGCCACCTCGGTTGTACGATTTCCGAAACCATATTTGTTTCATTTAAAAAACTTTAATTGAAAAACCCGTTATTATTTAGTCTTATATACACATTCGTGTCCCATAGTATATCATAGTGACTCGTTCTTGAACGGATAAAGCGGTTATACCGAAGGTTGAGAATATTTTTACGTTCTTAATCAACGTAATTACTATTTTCTTGAGAAGCGACATGTGGGGTTTGCTCGAAGTTCTAGTTGGTCTAATAGTTATCAAACCCGTTGATTACTGTCAATATTCAATTATTTCTATATGTATAAGGTATATTTTGATACATTCGATTAAGACCAGCCTTATACAACCTTATCTTAGTAACTCTTTAGTAATGATGATCCGCATTTCCTTTGGAACCCGATTACGGCATCCAAACACACAGGATTACAGGTGTCTGTGTTACGATGGAGTAATCCTTTTAAGATTTTTAATCGTATTACCTTAGCTTCAACCATCTCTGGTAAAATTTTCCACCATATTAGATCCAAGTCTACCAGAGCTGGCCCCATCAACTTAAGGAAATTTATCAAAAACATTAGGGGGAAGGGAGTTTGTTCTTTCAAGATGTTACAAAAGCAACGTACTTTCTTTGTCCAATAACTACAATGGACGGCATTTTTGTATACAATGTCAAACTTAGCTCTGTTTTCTTGGTGACRCCTAAGCTTGAGGATCACACCGCTTCGCTAGCACACAGCARTATATTAGACTTTATCAATATGCTGGCGCTAGGTCGCGGTGCATTCCTCGTTTATCAATCTAAGTATCTAAGCTTTGCATAGGCTTTAATTAAGAAATTGATTTTTAATGCCCGGATCTAACTTTAATCTCACTAATGAAACTAAAATGAAATCACTGCTGTCCRTGCATTTCCGTAACGGATTGTAACATTGGCTTTAAACCAAAAAATGCCGGAAATTACTAGCGATTTGCAAATTTAGTTACCACCACCCCAACCAAACTAGCAGACAGTTAAGACAAATGAAAGAAGGCGCGTTACAAGGAAGACAATCAGCCAAGCCAGACGAACAGCAGACGGTCATAATGAATACGAATATATATAGCTATATGTGCGATGGTCTGTACATAACCCGACAAGACGGATACCGGTTGCGTGATGCGAATTAGTTTACCACAAAAGTTTGCCGGTATCATGCAATAAAAGCCAACAGCGTTGGAAAATGCACGAAAGACGTCAGACCCGCTGGCAGACGAAAAAATAAAAGTAGTAATAATAACAGCCACACTTACGCCAAAAATAATACGAAGAAAAAATATATTTTTACGGTGAAACCAGCGAGCATTGGGCGATAAGGCAAAACGAAAACAATCRATAAGTTTACGTCGAACTCCAACGCCCCACTTGCCACCTTACGACAAGTAAATTGTGCGTAGTTACCACAAAACTAACCTGTTTGAAATGTGGATTATCCAAYAAGAAATTGTAGACGCCCTCATTTTGTAACTCCGGTCCGTTGTCATTGCGATCCAAAAGCGCCACATGCAGCGTCTTATTGAACACCAACGTTTTAACGTCGCTCATTTTAATAGTGCAAGCGACGCTCACTGCGAAATTTTTCACTTCTGTTGTGTTGAAATACTCATAATCCAGTGGTACTTTAGTATAGATTTCATTATTTTTTAATGTGAAATATTTATCACCACTCGTTAGCGTGTATTTCACATCCATCGTGGGGCAGAGATAGCGTGTGGCACGTGGATTTAATGTACCCACTCGTAAAGGTTCGGAAGTACTCAACTGCTCCGACTCCTTAGCAGTGGCATCTTCCACTATCGTGTACTGCGCTGCATCCCAAAAGCAGACATTCTCCAAATTCGCGCAATACTCAGCTTCCGCCTGTGGCGTCACTTCCAATGTCATTTGCGGTATTTTGTCAAGCGCATTGTGCTCATCCCGTGGTATGGCGGTTAAAATTATTTTCGTCYTTTTCTGCGTGGTTTGATAATCGTCCTTCATGAAGACCTCTCCGGTGCTGCCGTTCACATGCAACAGTTCGTTATTATCCAAAGTGTAGAGATATTCTTTAGTTTTGTCCTCATTGTCTTTACCAACGGGCAATATTTGAAAGCGTCCAATTGGTATTTTGGAAAATATACTYTGTGACTTTTCGTTAAATGGCAGATTTAGTTTTACTGCAGACATGGGAAAGTAGACGACAGGGTCTGAAAGTATAATAAAGAAAGTATTAATCAAAAGGTTTTGAAGATATAYAAAAGAAAAATTTTAAATATTAAACTTATATTAAGTCTTATCTCGAGAAATTTTAAATTAGCTCTCGAAGAGTTAATGTATTAAGAAATTTAACTATTTTTCTTTTTGGAAAATAATCAAGACCCCATCAGTACCCTTACTTTATCTTTGAATAAATTTGAATTGATTGATTATTTGAACCTTCTGAGCTTCTACCCTCCCAATAATAGTTTTACTTGGCTCAGGCCARTAATTCAAAGTTATCTTTTCTACCTTCGCCCTCTTATCTTTACTGCACTCTGAGTAAGACTCCGGTTCTAGTAGCCTGCTTTTTGTTTTATGCTCGTTGGAACAGTGATATAAAGATCTTATTGACTCTACATATTGACTCTAACATAATATTCGGTGGTTATTGGTCGCACGATCATGGTGTACAACGACCTGACAATCCTTACACACCATCAGTGCTTTAGTCGCTTTGACCATGTTGGCCATCTCTAGCTCTCTGCGCCCAAGGGTTGGAGCATCTTATAAACAGGTCGATGGTCGCTTAGAGGGATTGGTGATCAGTTTTAGCCAGTTAGTAGAAAACGTGTTGTGAAAAGCACCTCCGATATCTAGGAAGGCACATACTTAACATTACTTCCCCTCCTTCCACCGAACTCTCTATCTCCGAAGTTAATTCAGAGAAATAATTTTAAGATCTTTAGTACCTAATTTACAAAGAGGTGTAGGTAGGGAGGGTTTAAGCCATTTTAGTATACATATAATCATGTTTATATGCCATTKTTCTCAAAGTAGAACTTATGGATAATGAATAAGCATTGAAGCATTCAATTACCCTAGGATATAGATTTCAACCAATCTTAGATGAAGAATGTATTTATTTTATCCACTTTCTTTTCACACATATATTTTTTATTATTTTTTAGTTCTATAAAATGATTCGAATAAATAAAATTTTTCAAATTAAATTTTTATATAAATTACCAGTTAAAACTGTACCCCACTTAAGCATAGCGAAAGAAACAATTTTTTTTTTCAATGATTTTATACTAAATGTATATTCCCTCATTCTATTTAAATGTCTTCCTTTATTATTGTTCTACATACAAGACGAACTCTTCAAACTAAGGGCATTCGTTGTGTCAACAACTTACCAACGGAAACTAAAATGAAATCCTTGAGATAAACAAACAATGACTTTATTCTGCAGAAGATGARGATAGAATTGTGTCCGTTATACACATATATACAATATGCACATATACATATATATTTATTTATGTATCTGTGCTTTTTTTGTATTGGAGCGCTCAAGTGGTACTTCCAGAAAATGACAAATTGATTGATGAAGTATTAAAATCTTTTAAAATAACAGTTTACCGAATGAACTGGTTGTGATGGAAAGCARTAATGTGTGGAATGAGAGATGGAACAGAGTATAGAATATATAGAAAATATATTAATATAGAGAATATATAGCAAATATATAAAACTGTTTCATGTATAGAGAAAATAAAAACTTTGTTAGTTATGTCTTAGACAATTTCGATTACGAAAAAACCTTTGGGAAAACTTCGACTTAAAGACGCGATGAATGCAACAAAAAATAAATAATCAAAATTAAAAAAAAACTTAAATTTTATAAACAGTCAGGAGAACGTAAATTTCTGCTTTGCAATGAAATTCCTTTAACCTTCATATATGCATATCATAAAGTGAGCTGCATTAAGTTAAATTAAAGAAGAAAACCATTAGCCTGTGCATCGGTGTAAATAAATCTTCAGTTCAATTGTTGTGCTATTTAATTATAAATTCCAACTCGCACTTGTTTAACATAGCATTTATCCTCAGTATTGTTTAATGAAAAGACGCTGTAATGCACACATACATACATACGTAGTTAGCAAATACAAAGTCTACTTGCAGGCGCACATCCTCATGAAAATGTATGCGAAACCATTTAAACTGATACCCAGTAAGCAGAAATAAKTTTGCTTTTTAAAAAAGATATTTAGATATATTTTTAAATTTCGGATTAACAAGCCGATAATATATATTCGATTTTATTAGATTCTTGGGAGCACCAAAAATAAAAAATGAAAGTTTAGTTCAGTATTGTTAATTGTTTATTCCATAAAATAAGTTTGTCGACTTCAGTCTATGAAAGTCAGACTGATATGTCTTCTATTGCGGATTTCCTCCTTTTGACGAAGGATTCTACCAGTAGTGGTTGTTGCATGTAGAAAAAACGAAGGGAGAAAACGGGTTTGAGAACTCTTTTCAGTACCCATCGTTACTTGCGTTCCTTGTCCTGAAAAAATCTGTGCTTGGCAAACATTTAATCAAAATTCGTTACACTTTTTGTATCAACATTCTCTTTTCCATCTCTTTTCCATCTCTTTCGCCTTCTTTTCTAAATCGACATTTAGTTCTTTATTTACTTTGTCTTCCTATCATTAATAATTGTTTTCCTGCCTCTTGCGACAACTTCTTGATCTTAATGTTGTAATTGTAGTCATATAAGCAGTATTTTCTTCCTTATCTCTCATACAATCAACTACAATCGTTTTCACTGAATTAGCTGTATTCCGCTCACCATACTTTCGATAGTAGTGAATCGAAGGAACAACTGGTGTAAATACATTAAACTGGTATAATCGAATAACGATAAAATAATAAGCGATTATATCTTATTGCAAAAGTAACCATATGTTCTCTTTTATTGAACTTCTTAAAAGCTAAAATTTTCTTAAAAATTTCCAAAAAGAGCCTACCAAAACGATTCGAAGTTATTATTATTATGTTTTTTTTTTGTAACAAATTTCTTTCACATTTTTCTATTGCTTCTTCTGCACTAAGCTAACAGGTCAATTGAAAATTCCCCGGCTTCACATATAAATGGCGTTACTAGAATTAAATCCATATGGTTTTTAGTTAGCTTTAGCCTTCAAAAGACACATGGAGCTGTGGAACTTTGTTAGTTATATCATTGTAAGTGATGCAACAAAAATGAATAAAATCGAATTTCTCGAGTTGATAAATATTGTTTTTTGAAGGRAAATACAGTTGAAGTGAAAACTTGACTTGATGGCGAGTTTGCGTACATCGTCCCAGGAAAATCAACAATGAGGGATTGGTATGCTAAGTTTAGACGTGGTGAAATGAGCACCGAAGACGGTGAATGCAGTGGACGCCCAAAAGAGATTGTTACCGACGAAAACATCAGAAAAGTCCACAAAATAATTTTGGCTGACCGTAAAGTGAAGTTGTTCGAGATGGCAGACACTCTAAAGATATCAACTGAATGTGTACATGATATCACTCACGAATATTTAGGTATGAGAAATCTCTGTCCAAACTTGGTTGATGAGTTGATAATTCGAAGCRAGAATKATGGCAAAAGTACATGTRTTGAGCTTCGAATTGCTTCCACATCCATCGCATTCTCCAGATCTAGTCCCAAGCGAAAATTTCCCTTTCTYAGATTTCAAAAGAATGCTCGCTGGGAAGAAATTTTCTTCAAATAAAGAAGTGATTGCCGAAACTGAAGAAAATTTTGAAGCAAAGGACAAATCGTACTACAAAATTGTATCGAAAAGTTGAAAGGACGCTATAGTCAGTGTAAACTATGTTGAAAAAAAAAAAACAATTTTGCCAAAAAAATGTGTTTTAGTACGATAGGCGGGGAACTTTTCAATTGACCTGTTCTAGTCTAATTCATTCCTTACTTAAAAAATTTGTCTAATTAAAAATATATTTAGAATTTCCAACAATTTTTGTTTACTGGGCACACATTATTCGTACKCTGAATGACCGTCCCTACTGGCGCATAGAGCGAATTCCTTCAAACGGCGACACTGTGACGACAGCTTTGGTTTACTTTATTACACACACATACTAACAAGTGCACATCTTTGTATGCATTTGTTTGAATGTTTGTATGATGTAGATATTTGAAGATAAATACAAATATGACTATGAATGTGTTAACAATCGTTAGTWATATCACACCCCTATAATAATAAAAAAGCTTACAGCCATACATATGTACACACACATGCGTGAGTGTTTAAAATATAGCATACTTATGAGCGCGCGCATATTTATCACCGAGTTATGTTTCTGCCAATTCAACTGTGACTTTCACAGGCACGCTGCTCTGGTCATATTTGTCTTTATGCCTGGCTAAATTATGATGCGAGCATATGAGTACATACAAACAAACATTTTATTTACCTACAAACAAACAAACATACTATATATGTACATATGTATATATACATATAAATATATTTATCATTTACTCTGCGAATATTTGCATAATTTCATGGTTGAGTGGAAAACAATATGCACTACACATTCAATGAGAAAGCGTTTACATACGACTTTTGTTGTTGTAATGCAGATAACGATATTTACTTGTATGTATTATATATATGTTTAGAAATSTGTAGGATTTTCCTGCTGCCAGCCAGCTTTACCAACTCTACTGGCTCTACAAAGTCTCCCCATCGAGTGCATTCATATCACTCACTCTGCAGCTCATTATTGCACTCACAATTTAATTAAGCATATTTATTAAACCAATAAATAATAATGATTACAAATGTAGATATGTATGAACTATGCATCTGCGTTTAGTATTTAGATAGTAATACGTAAAAAATCAATATTTCGTGATAAATGTAGAAAACGATTAACATACAATGTATGTATGTAAGCGAAAATACTCATACATGTACATATTTGCCTTACGTAGGTATATTTGTATAAAATAACAGGAAAAGGCATAACCTTCTGAAGCTATAACACCCTGCACAGGTCTATTTATTATATGTAGCATAAAAAAGAGATCTTTCTCTTAATTTTGATTGGTAATTTTGTGTGGCARCTATAAGATTTAGAGGACCGAGCCGAACAATATTTTCGGCTATTGAAGCTTGACCTGCGACAATAAGCTATACCA